TCCTGATCAGACTTTTTATCGCAGCATAGTTGGTGGGTTGCAATATCTATCCTTGACAAGACCTGATATAACCTTTGCAGTGAATCGGGTAAGCCAATATATGCACTCTCCTATGCAATCACACTGGATAGCAGTTAAGAGGATCTTGCGATACTTAGTTGGCACCAAGGACCATGGCCTTTACTCTTCTCGGCAATCGAGTCCTCTACTACATGCATACTCTGATTCAGATTGGGGAGTTGCTTGGATGATCGAAAGTCCACCACAGGTGTGGCGATCTTCTATGGCAACAATTTGATCCCATGGACTTCGAGGAAGCAAAGGACAGTGTCTCGGTCGTCAACAGAGGCAGAATATCGTGCCTTAGCCTCTGCAACAAATGATGTTTACTGGTTGCAGTGTTTACTCAATGAACTTGGCTACCCATTGGCTTCAAAACCGACACTTTGGTGTGACAATTTGAGTGCAACTTATTTGACAGTCTCACCAATCTTCCACTCAAGTTCAAGGCATCTTGAAATTGATTTTCACTATGTCAGGGACAAAGTGATGAAACAAGAGTTACTTGTTAAATACATATCAAGCATAGACCAGATTGCAGACATTCTCACCAAGGCACTCTCTCGGACACGTTTTGCTCAGTTAAAGACCAAGCTACGAGTTCTCTCCGATTCTCCTAGCTTGAGGGAGAGTGATAAGGCAATATAATCTGTATCTTTATCAGTTGTATTTATCCTTACCTGTTAACTACTTTAGCCTATCACTTCAAGCCTAACACGATACCTAGCCTAAGAGTTCTTGTGTTGTACAACTCTATTGTATATGTATTCAACAGATACATCAATACGAATCATGCTTTTACTGCTCTCACATCATGAACAGCATTAAAGAAGAGAACCTTCGGGAAGGTCAAACATGACCTTAATTATTGAGGGTCGAACTGGGTAGAAATCAAAAAATCTCCTGATTCAACCTCTAGAGAGGTCGAACTCGACCTTCATGAATGGGGAGCCCCAGACCCAACTCATAGTGCAGCCTCCACCACCATGATATCTCTTTCCCAATTTTGAGCATCTCCAGGCTGTATATTGCTCTGCTACAAGGATACTTCGTTCATTGTGCTATCCAAAAGAGTGTTCTTACTTTTTCTTCCTTTTCTCCATTTATTTTGCTAATTGTGTCCGTTGAGGACAATGTGTCACTTAGAATTATGACTGCATATACTTCTATTTTCTTAGTTTTTATTTTCTCTTTTATTTTCCATATCATATAGTGTAAAGGATCTTGAGATTACTTTCTTTTAATGCAAGTTTGATTTTTTGCTTAATGTATGCAAAACATGATTTGAATGAATAAATGAACTTTAGTTCATTAAGGATGTTGTTTTAGTCGACTAATGTTCTATTAAAATGCTTAATGCTTGTTTTGCATATGTTTAATTTGATTATGTTGCTGCAATTGCATGAATGTTTAACCACCTATATATATGCATTGTTTCAATATGTGCTTTTCATTGATTGTTGTGATTTGAGCATTCATTCTAAGCACACATTGAGGACAATGTGTAACTTAAGTGCGGGGGGTAGTCTATTAGTTTTAGATCCAAGAGTCAAGACATGGAGATCATTTTTCGAACTGATTTGGATTAATATTTGCATGAATGAAAAGCTTTTACAATATTTTCAATAGTTATTTTGAGTTTGTTGATGAGATGGACAAATGATGAGAAACTTTTTCCAAAAGATTCTGAGTAAAGGCTTTTCTCTTTCAAAATTTAGCAAGTGATAAGTGATTTTTAATGTGAAAAATGGATTTTCAAGTGATTTTTATCCCCTGAACTTGTATCCCATTCGATCTGAGTTAAAAGAAAGCAAACAAAGACCCCTTTGAGCTTCATTTCTGAACCCTATTCTTAATCATAAACAAAGACCCCCTGTAAGTGTGGGGGATGTATATTGAGATATATAGAGGAAAAAATATACTTTTGATCTTACCATAGTTGTCACTCTGAAAAATGGAGTAATAAGAAGGAAAAAGGAGGATAAGAGGCATGGTATAGAAGTGAGGAAGTATTGTGTCTCTAGAAAAAAAAATAAGCACCAAAAACAGAAGCGTGCAAACAAGTTCAAAAGTGCCAAGCAATTATGCAAATCAAATTTAAAGGCACTAGTGGAGAATGTGATACGAAAGTAAAGAACTCATTGATGGGCTAGTAGCCACAAAACCCATTTTTTAAGACTTGTTTTCACCCATGAGCTTATTTCATATCTTTGGTGGTTATTATTTTGTCTCATTGATAGGATGGAAGTACAAGTTTTGGTTGAGTATGCATTTGATGTTCATTGGTCTGCAATGATAGAATGCTTATTTACTTGTTGCTTCTAAATTGAGATTTGAAAGTGCTTAGACATTGATTGGAAAACTATTTTGAATTGTTTGGAAGATATCGAGACTTGCTTGAATGGCTTTGAACATATTATTTTTGCTACCTTTGTGACTGTAAATCTCTTTCAAAGCACTAGAAAGATCTCTCTAATGTCTATATCCTAAATGTTTGTGGGTATCGTTTTAGTTAAGTAAACCCTCAGGAGACTATAACTCCTCTTTTATTGTCTTCGATTAAAGGTTTAAAGGCTTGCGTCACTTGCTAAGTACCATCGTACACCTAAGAAAGTGGAATCAATACTTGCTTTAGTTTTAGTTTTTAATGTTTAATTTAGTTAACTTGTTAAGGGACTAGTAAGGCTTAAGTGTGGGAGAATTTGATAGGCTTTTATTTACCTTGATTTGATAATTCTTAAGTGCATATCTTGTTTAATTGATACTTAATTGCTTTGTTTTTGTCTTATAGGTACTTTTGAAGATGTTGATAATGAAACAAGACAATTAAAGGTGATTTTGTGAAAAATTTGGAGAAGACAGCAAAGGAAGAAGTTTCTGAGCCTTGCCGCATGCGGGAAGGTATCCATGCCATGTTTGGGGAGCTCCTGAACGCAAATAAACTTTCTGATGCATGCCGTGAGCGGGGAGGTACCCTTTCCCACTAACGGGGAGGTTCTTGACAGATTGCGATTTTTGACAGATTTTCCTATTTTCAATGGGCTTTTCTCCAGATTTAACCTCAAAATAAATCCAACGACTTATGGGCTATGTCAAGTCTAAAGTTAGCTATTCTTCTAGTCTTTTTAGGATTTCAAAATTATTTATTAATTATTTATTTAATTCCTAGTTATTTTAGGATTAGGTTTTATCTCCTATATAAAGGTAGCCTTTATACACAATTCTACACAATCTATCTGTCTTCTACTCTTCTTGTTCCTGGTTTTCATCAATTATGAGATAAATTTTTCTCTCCAATTCCACGTTTAGACTTTTAGGTTGATTTGTGAGATTTATGTTCTTAACCTGATTATTTATCTTGATATTTTATGATTTCAGATTTTATCTTTATGTTTTTCATGATTCTAATTGATTTGGTGCCCAACTTATTAATTAGGATTATAAATCTATTGTTAGTTGGAATTCTATACCGTTTGGTTAGGTTTCGCATGGTAGTAACTAGTTGAATGGGAGGGGTCATCAAAAGATAGTTGGAAATCACTAGGAAATCATGAATGCAAATTGGATGCTTGTCCGTTTGGGGAGTGTTAATTGTGTAGGCTATAATTCATTATGCTTAATGTTGTTGAACCTTGAATTCTATTGTGCGTTTGTCATAGCGTTAGGACCTCAATTAGGCTAGTTTATATTAATTAGCATTGTGGTGAATTCATAGGATTAATTAGTGTTTGTTGTTCATTTACGCCTTCTATCTTGATGAATATGTTAATATCTTTTGTTTCAATAATCAGATCAACTTGAATAGTCGATGCTTGGGATTGGAATATTTACTTATCTTGTTACTTTATTTTATTATTTTCTTTTTCTTGTTCATTTATTTTTATTGTTCACTTATTCACAAAACTCTCAAAATTGTTAGTTTTAGAATTAATGAGAGTAATGTAGTTAACACAACTCTCTATGGGATCGACCTGAACTTACCCTATCTATAAGAAGGTTTAGTAATTTATTTTTGACGGCAAACAACACCCATCATTTGTAATTGACTTCATGAAATGGAGAGTGATGTAAACAGGAGTGATGAATAACTACAAAGAATTCTCCCATGAGAAAGCCACAGGACAGAGTTCCTAATAACTTCCATTAATATTTGTGTTGTTCATTTAATTTACACAAATGATGAAGAAAACACGTTTCGAAATTTCAAATTAATTTAATTAAATGATATTTGAATTTAAATTAAATTTTTTATTTTTGACAAAATTTAAATTAAAAAGTTTAGTCAATTAGATGCGCTATTTTAAAATAATCATGTGGGCCTGTGGCCGAATAATGAATAATGTTTTAAACATTAAAATATATATATATATATATAGATAAATATATTTTTCCCATTATGCATTATTTCGATCAGGCAAAAAAAATTATGCATTATTTCGTATTATGAATAATGTTTTAGAATTTCATTAAATATTTTGTATTGGCATGATCATTTTTCTAAGATCTATTTCATTATATACGTAAAACATCAATCAATGTTACTACCAGATATGTTAAGGAAAATTATTCAATACGCTGTGTAAAACATCAATCAATGTTACTACCAGATATGTTAAGGAAAATTATTCAATACACTGTCAGTGGAGTTTAACATACTACACATGTAGGGGTTAAAGGTTGACATGTGTCCTTTAACAAATAGTTTTGTATTTTAAAAACAAAGTTAATTCAGAAAATGAACATATGCCAACTGCTCACCCCCAAATGTGGACACCTTTGCCAATTGATCATCAAGCTGGAAATGTATTGGAAGCTTCAAATGTGAACATATACATATATATATATATATATATATATATATATTCGTTATCTCATTTTTAATTTATTTAAATAATAAAATAATTAAAAATAATTATTATTTTTAAAATAAAGAAGAAATGGATCTTTTGGCCGAGTGATTAAGGTGTGTACCTGCTAAATACATGGGGCATCCTCACGAGAGTTCGAATCTCTTGGGTATCGTCTGACCTTTCTCTTTAACCCCTTTTTCAGAAAGTAGAAATGGATTGCATGACCCGAATTTTAAACAATTTTGGTCCATGACCTGGATTTTAGCAATTTTAGTCCTTTCTTAAATCCCAATTTGTTCCATTAAAAGGTTTATACTAGAAGATTTATACTAGAAGGTTTATACTATAAATGACCTTTAGAGGCACTTAAAATGTGTTACATATATATGATTTGATAACACTTTGAAAAATGTTTTAGAAAAGTGTATAGGCGTAGTCATACATAATAATTAACAACATTTTTTAAAGTAATACTATAGGCATGTAAAAGTGCTCTTAAAGAGAAAAGTCGATGGTGGCAGATAAAACGCATAAAAAAGTGCTGCCTTTGCTCTACAAAAACACTTTTTCTACTTTTTACAGCACAATCCAAGTGTTGCTATAGGCCTATTTTGGTTTAGTGAAGAAACATCATCAAGTCACAAATCAATGTTCATCATATATGAGCAAACACAGAACACCATATGCTTCACTATATTTTCATATAAGAAAATAGATAATAAAACATTTAATTTATTTAAGAACTTACGTAAAAATATTCTTCTCAAAACAAAGCAGGAGAATGTGTGAATATCGACTTACCTGTCTCCATACTAATCCTATCTTTGCCTATAGACACAATCAAATGCCTTGAATTTAACTTTAAAGCCTGCTATTGACTTGACAAAAAGCAAGGGAACCCACGGCTAAATCGTCCTTTCGATTCTTCTTACTCTTCTTAATTTCTCCTTTTCTCTAGTTGTCTTCTTAACCTCTCCTTTTCTCTAGTTATCTTCTATTTCTTCTTTCTTTCCTTATCTAAGCCGATGCTTCTTCCCAAATTTAGAAAATGAAAAATGAAAGCCACAGTTGAGTTAAGACAACCACAAAAGATATATTTACATTATTATTCCCTCTGTCCCATATTATAAGTCCCCTTCTAGAAACTTTTTTTGTCCCAAAATATAAGTCCCTTTTTAAAATCTAATGCAACTTTTACCTAAGTCATCTAAATTACCTTTGTTAGTGGTAGTAAAAATGTAGTTGAAATTTAATTTATCTATTGACCATGAGGGAGTAAGTGGGAGGAGAGAGAAGAGGGACAAAATTAGAAAGAGAAGATAAAAATTTATGGAAATTAGAATTTTAACTACTTTTCCTAAACTTTGTGATACCGTTAAAATGAACTTATAATATGGGACAGACAGTAATATTTTTACCACCTCTTTTCTTTTCATCATTATCTATGCTTTCTCTTAATTTATTACTTCCACTTTCTTATTCGTTTGACAATGTCGGTTTAAGCCCACCTAAAAGATATTTATACACTTTATAGGAAAATTGCTACCAAGTCCCTTCATGTGTCATAGTTGCTTAATAAGATCCAAAAATAATGGAAACCTTTCAATTTCGTCCTCTCATAAAATATAGTTCAAATATATTGCAATCCCAAAATACTGGGGTATTACAAGAAGAGGCCGACAATGAGAGAAATTGCTATGGAATTAGAGCGGATTTCGTCATTGCAAAAGGATGCAAGTATTGAACACAACTAAGAAGTGATCCATAATGTTCATCACGTTGATATAATATATCCGTTGGATGCCACTTCTACTTCAACAGGTTCAGTTTTTGACTCTGGAATTGAGTTAATTGAAACAGAGCCACTTATTTATGCATGTCTCTTTTATGTTGGAATAATTTTATTGTATGTAATGTAAACGAATTGGTATTCCTTTCAACTCTCTCTCAGATAACTCTACGCCATTCACCCATCCTTAACACCCAATCGTCTGAAGATGGAAGATGGCGAAATCATCGATGATATACGATGCCAAGATTTTGTGGTGAAGGGTGCAACCCAATCCACTCTCATCACCATTGGTGAATGAAGACGACTCGTCAATCTTTCGGATAGTGGAGCTGCTGCAGGGGACAACAGAAGAATAAATTTTCTATAGGATGGGCACAAAAACTCGGCTACAGTATCTAATGCTTGATTTCTGTCCCCGAACTGGTACTGTTGACGATTGTGTGGGGTTTGTGTTTCAAGGTTCAAAGTTACATCCAGACAAAACAGCTGATGATTTGCAGTTGAAAGATGGAAATACCATTGATGCAATCCATGTTCTGCATGTTTGATGCTCTGTTTATCTCCCTGTCAGTCTCTTTGATTTGGTTTATTAATTAAGGTACTTCTGTTGGTATATTAAATCTGTGTAGGAGATTTAACTTTATGGGATTGTTTGCAAAAACCCATTTTAATTTCTTGACATGTACTACTTATTCGTGATGAAAATATATTTACAATCCAAATGATCTTTCAAAAAACCCTATCGAGGCTTTCCGATTTCGTACTAGAATTTTGATATCACTTATCCTTAATTCATAAAACCCCAGTTTATTTTTAATTTATTTATTATTTGGGTTTCATTTTCTAAAAACATTGGGGTAGATGATGCTCACAGGACGTGTTTATATCACAATTTACAATTGGGGTAAAATTGTAAATGTATATGGTGGTACATAATCAAGGGCTGAGATTTATTCCTAAAAGTCCTATGGATGGTTGGATTTAGTCCACCATAGGCCAAAGTCAACCAAGAAAAAGATTGACCATTGACTTTAAATCCATATTTTCTTTTAATTTAATTAATTAAATTAAAGAAATTAAGTAAATTATGTTGAAAACACATTTGGGCCACCCCGTTTAATGTACAAATTGGGTCTGGACGGCCCATGCTCCTGAAATTGAAATCAGGCCCTTCCCGGATTAAAACTTTTACAAGTTTGCAATTAAGGACAAAGGGATTAGGGTTCAGAATTCGAAGATGAAGATGAAGGAATTTGGTGCAACATCCTTTATTAAAGTTATTCAAAATATCATGAAGAACACTCTGTCCAAATTTCAGCTCATTCCGAGCTCGGAGGATGTCGCAACGTCCGGGTCCGGGGGTACCGAACCCAACCGTTTAACGACTTAAAAACTAAAGACTAAGGGAGTCACCACTAATCTTTTTTAACCTAGGTGTGATTAGCCACCTATCAGATTGTTAAGCCTAATGTTAACCTAATAAACGGTCAATTAACCAGAGTCCTAAAGGTTCGGGAGTCGAGTACGTGTGGGGAAGGATTAGCACCCCCATGACGCCCGTCAAAAGACGGCACTGACTAGTCTAGACTACTGTGGGTTTCTATTACCGGTTGTCTGTATTCTTAAATATTCATGCCCTTAAACTCTTTTATTAATCCTTAAATTTAAGCAAAACAAACAAGCAAAAATGAATTTTTGAATTTTTGAAATAGGAATGTTGGGAACTTTCCCGTTTTCTATTTCGTTCTCTTTTTGAGCTCCTCATGAGAGGATTTTCTTTAAAACTTACCTTTAAAACAATTATTTTTCTTGAAAACTGTTATTTGTCGGGAACTTTCCCTTCTTTTGAAAACTTTGAGAAAAAAGACTCTTTTTGATTAATTGATTTTTTGTCTTTCGAAAAAACAAAGAGAACAAATGCAAGCACAAACTCTTTTTAATTTTCGAAAAGGGTTTTTATTCTTTCTTTCTTCTTCTTTTTTTTTTTTATTTTGTTAGCAACTAATTCTCTTTTTGTTTTTTAATTGACTCAATTACCCTGAATTTAAGCCCTTATTTTCCCTAATCTCTACTTCCTACTAAACTTAATTACCCTGAATTAAGTTACTTATTGAACTACATAATTACCCTGAATTAAGGTTGATTACTGACTCACTTAATTACCCTGAATTAAGTTGATTACTGAATTACTTAATTACCCTGAATTAAGTTGATTACTGACTCTCTTAATTACCCTGAATTAAGTTGATTACTGAATTACTTAATTACCCTGAATTAAGTTGATTACTGACTCACTTAATTACCCTGAATTAAGTTGATTACTGACTCACTTAATTACCCTGAATTAAGTTGATTACTTAATTACTTAACTACCCTGAATTAAGTTGATTACTGAATTACTTAATAACCCTGAATTAAGTTGATTACTGACTCACTTAATTACCCTGAATTAAGTTGATTACTGAATTACTTAATTACCCTGAATTAAGTTGATTACTGACTCTCTTAATTACCTTGAATTAAGTTGATTACTGACTCACTTAATTACCCTGAATTAAGTTGATTACTGAATTACTTAATTACCCTGAATTAAGTTGATTACCTTACTTAATTTCCCTGAACTAAGTTACTAACTGACTTTACTTAATTACCCTGAATTAAGCTACTTACTGACTTAATTACCCTTAATTAAGTTACCTATTACTTACTTAATTACCCTGAATTAAGTTGTTGACTTACTTAGTTACCTTGAATTAAGTTATTTACTGACTTTCTTAATTACCCTGAATTAAGTTACCGACTTACTAACTTACTTAATTACCCTGAATTAAGTTATTCACTGACCTACTTAATTTACCCTGAATTAAGTTATTCACTGATCTACTTAATTACCCTGAATTAAGTTACTTATTACTGATTCATGTTTTCTTACTTCTTATATCTTGATCTTGATCTCTTTTGAATTTTAATCTTTGATTAATCACTGGATTAGTCTTGAAATGCATGGATGCACATGATGCATGAAAATCCAATTTCAATTTTAATTACCCATTAATTATACGTGGAACGCCTTTGATCGCCTCCCAATAAATGGTAAACGGTCTCCGGACATTTCCAAGCCTCCGGGAGAAGACGAGCAAACCCAAACACGCATGAATGAGCCGCCCGCCTTTCCCATCACGGGAGTCACTTTAATTGATCTCGAATGAATATAGTAACTTGTAACAATTTATGAAAAATAAATATGAATGTGAATGCTTGAACTAATCACTTTTCATTTTCCCTAAAAATATTCACAACCTAAATTATTTACTTGATTTAAAAGCTAAGACCTTAACCTCAATAAGATCTACTTATAAATCATATGTATAAGTAAACAT